GATTGCGCCACTGCACTCCAGCCCGGGCGACATTGCAAGACTGTCTCAAAAAAAAAAAAAAAAAAAAATTTGAATATGGACTATGTTTTAGATGATATCAACGAATTCATTTATTTTGTTAGGTGTGATATGGCATGGTAGTTTTGTAAGAATATGATTTTTTTTTTTTTTTGACCAGGCAAGGGGGCTCATGCCTATAATCCCAGCACTTTGGGAGGCCGAGGCAGGTGGATCACCTGAGGCCAGGAGTTCAAGGCCAGCCTGGCCAACATAGTGAAACCCCATACTAAAAATACAAAAATTAGCCGGGCGTGGTGGCAGTTGCCTGTAATCCCAACTACTTGGAGGGCTGAAGCAGAGAATCACTTGAACCCGGGAGGCGGAGGTTGTGGTGAGCTAAGATTGCGCTACTGCACTCCAGCCTGGGCAACAGAGCAAGACTCCGTGTTAAAAAAAAAAAAAAAAAAAAAAAGAATTGATGGGTTGAAGTCCTTATACCAGTGAGTGACAAGGGATGAGATCTTTTGCACAAATGGAGGGGTTGTGCTAGAAGCAGAGAGTTCATCCATACTAACAGGATAGAAGGCAAAGAACACAGGGGGAATAATGCTGGGAAGTAGGTCGATAAGGGAGAAGCTCCTGGAAACTCTTCTGATTGCTTCTATCAACCCAGTGAAATTGGAAGCAAGAGAGATGAGGGAGAGGTGTTGAGGGTCTGAAAAGCAAGAAGGTGTGAAACAGGCCTCTAGTAGAATGGATGAGTGAATACATTAAAGAAATGTAATATGATTGCCAGGCAGCATGAAGGGCCTGCTTGACATTAATATTGACAGATTTCAAGTAAGACCAGTCAGCATGATTGTTTATTCAACCATGTTCATCTCTGAGGGCCAGAGTTGGATTTAGCAAAATGTATTAGTTTCCTATTGCTGCTGTTACAAATCATCACAAATATTAAAACAACACATAGTATTATCTTTTATCTTACAGGTTATATCTTGCAGGTTATATAGGTTAGAAGTCTGACACAGGTCTCACTGGGCTAAAATTAAGGTTGCAGCAGGGCTATGTTCCTTTCTGGAGGCTCTAGGGGGAGAATGTGCTTCTTGACTTTTCCAGCTTCCAGAGGCCATACACATTCCTTGGCTCATAGCCCCTTCCCCCATCTACCAAGTCGGGTAGAACAGGTTGAGTCCTTTTCACCCTGCATCACTATGACCTCTTCTTCTGCCTCCCTCTTCCACTTTTTTTTTTTTTTTTTTTGAGATGGAGTTTCACTCTTGTAGCCCAGGCTGGAGTGCAACAGCGCAATCTCGGTTCACTGCAACATCCACCTCCTGGGTTGGAGCAATTCTCCCACCTCAGCCTCCTGGGTAGCTGGGATTACAGGCGTGTGCCACCACGCCCAGCTTATTTTTGTATTTTTGTAGAGACAGGGTTTCATCACATTGGCCAGGCTGGTCTCGAACTTCTGACCTCAGGTGATCCACCCACCTTGGCCTCCCCTAGTGCTGGGATTACAGGCATGAGCCACCACACCCAGCCCCTCTTCTACTTTTAAGCACCCTGTGATTACACTGGGTTCACCCAGATATTCCAATTTCCCTATTTTAGGGTCAGCTGGTTAGCGACCTTAATTCCTCTCTACCATATGAGGGTAACATATTTACAGGGTTCAGAAATTAGTATGTGGATATTCTTGGGAGGCCATTACTCTGCTTACCATACGAAGGCTATGGTCTTGCCAAGCCAGTATAATGAAGTGTGAAAGAGAAAAAAAATAAGTTAAAGTTGTATACAAGGAAGCCTCCACAATTATTGACTCTGAACTTCAAACTATGTAAGGAGAGAAGTGAGAACCTGAGGGGTGTGCAACAGTGAAAAAATGGAATCAATGAACTATAGGTCCCAACGATACCAAACAGTTGTTGGAACTGGTGTTCTAGAGGATGGAGAGTAGAATGCTTGAACGGTGGTATAATAATGGAAGTGTAATAAAAAGTCTGATTCTGCTGGGCATGGTGGCTCATACCTGTAATCCCAGTGCTTTGGGAGCCTGAGGTGGGAGGATCACTTGAGCCTAGGAGTTCAAGACCAGCCTGGGCAACACAGTGAGACTCCATCTCTACAAAAATCTTTTTTTTTTTTTTTCTGAGACAGAGTCTTGCTCTGTTGCCCAGGCTGGAGTACTGCCTAGGCTGGAGTGCAGTGGCGCAATCTCAGCTCGCTGCAACCTCCGCCTCCCAGGTTGAAGCAATTCTGCCTCAGCCTCCCAAGTAGCTGGGATTACAGGTGCCTGCCACCACGCCTGACTAATTTTTGTATTTTTAGTAGAGACGGGGCTTCACCATATTGGCCAGACTGGTCTCGAACTCCTGACCTTGTGATCCACCCACCTCGCCCTCCCAAAGTTATTACAGGCATGAGCCACTGTGCCCAGACTACAGAAATCTTTTAAAAATTAGACAAGTGGCCGGGCGCGGTGGCTCAAGCCTGTAATCCCAGCACTTTGGGAGGCCGAGACGGGTGGATCACGAGGTCAGGAGATCGAGACCATCCTGGCTAACACGGTGAAACCCCGTCTCTACTAAAATACAAAAAAAATTAGCCGGGCGAGGTGGCGGGCGCCTGTACTCCCAGCTACTCGGGAGGCTGAGGCAGGAGGATGGCGTGAACCCGGGAGGCGGGGCTTGCAGTGAGCTGAGATCCGGCCATTGCACTCCAGCCTGGGCAACAGAGCTAGACTCCGTCTCAAAAAAAAAAAAAAAAAAATTAGACAAGCTTGGTGGCACACACCTCTGGTATATGTTTACATGTACAGTAAGTCCTCAGTTAACGTGGTCAGTAAGTTCTTGGCAACTGCAACTTTAAGCAAAATGACGCACAGCAGGTCCTTGAATGACACTGGTTCATTCAATATCATTTTGCTGCAACACTGATGAGAAAAAAATTGGTTTTGCTATGTCATTTCACTTAAAGTCAGTTTCCAAGAACCTATGGACAATGTTAAATGAGGACTTACTGTATATACACGCACACACATCTTTGCCCACTCATGTAAGTGTATCTGTAGAAGAAAATACTACAAGTCCTAGCTTCAAAAGTAAAACTATGTATCTTAACTTTTGAATTGACTCATATAGCTCATCACACACCAGCCTGAGAGAATATAAATAAATGCTTACTCACACTATTGACTTTATTAAAATCTGGCATGGTGTTCTTGAATAGCAATTTTAAATACACATTCCCTAAGATACAGCACTCTGAATTCCAAAGTGTACACTCAGTTATAAAGTGCACAAAAATTCACAAAAAGGCTGCCTATTACAACAAAAGTAAAACGGCAAACAATTGGAAAAATCTAAATGAAAGGCCTGGCATGGTGGCTCACGTCTGTAATCTCAACCCTTTGGGAGGCTGAGGCAGGAGGACTGCTTGAACTCAGGAGTTCGAGACCAGCCTGGACAACATGGCAAGACCCTGTCTCTACTAAAAATACGAAAAAATACTTTGGGAGGCCGAGGCAGGTGGATCACGAGGTCAGGAGATCGAGACCATCCTGGCTAACACGGTGAAACCCCATCTCTACTAAAAATACAAAAAATTAGCTGGGCGTGGTGGCGGGCACCTGTAGTATCTGCTACTCGGGAGGCTGAGGCAGGAGAATGGTGTGAACCCGGGAGGCAGAGCTTGCAGTGAGCTGAGATCGTGCCACTGCACTCCAGCCTGGGTGACAGAGCGAGACTCTGTCTCAAAAAAAATAAAATAAAATAGCTGGGTGTGGTGGTGTGCACCTGTGGTCCCAGCTACTAGAGATGCTGAGGTGGGAAGATCGCTTGAGCCCCGGGGGATGGAAGTTGCAGTGAACTGAGTTAGAGATCGAGCCACTGCACTCCAGCCTGGGTGACAGAGCCAGACCCTGTCTCTAAAAAAACATATAAAACAACAATAATAAGATAATAAATTGACTGGGCATGGTGGCACCCACCTGAAGTCCCAGCTACTAGGGAGGCTGGGGCAGAAGGACTGCTTGAGCCCAGGAGTTCCAGGCTGCAGTGAACTATGATCAGGCCACAGAATTCCAGTCTAGGCGACAGAGCAAGACCCTGTCTAAAAAAAATTAAAGCAGTAAAATCCACAGAGACAGAATAATGGTTGCTAGGGGCTGAAGGGAGGGGGAAATGGGGAGTTGTTTAATGGGAGTAGTTTCAGTTTTGCCACATAAGAAAAGTTCTGGAGATGACAGACAGTTGCACAACAATATGAATGTAGTCAACACTACCGAACTGTACATTTAAAAATGGTTAAGATGATAAACTTTATTTTTCATAAAACCCAGTTTCTGCACAAAAAGATAAATTTTATGTTATGCGTACTTTACCACAATTTAAGAAAAAATTTAAATGCTCATCCCAACATTACCACGCCCCCCACCCTTAGCCAACTGGTGAATGCTAACTTATTTTTCAACGCCTAGCTCAAATGTCTCCTCTTGCCATGCCATCCCTTAGCTGACCACCCTTGTAGTTGGCCATCCCCTCTTTTATGCCAACACTATGCCCTGCACATACATTATACCTCTTACAACACTTATCAAACCTAGTAATTATTGCTTTACAAATCCGTTTCCACCACTAGATTACAAACAACTTGGGGGCGGGGACCTTGTTTTACTCATCTCTGTATCCCCTAGGCTTGGGGCTTGATAAGCTGAAAAGAATCAATAAGGGCTTGATTAATTAAGGTTCTGGCTCTTACGGAGCTCATACTGCAGGGTCATCTGCCCAAAAGAAAAGGCATCGGGGTCTCCTGAGGTTTTAGAAATCTGGTCAAACATCCAGAGCTGACTCCCACACCCTACTGCGAGAAGAGTGCGAGAGCGCGCCTCAAAAGGCTGCGCCTCAACAGTTCGGGTCACCAGGGGGATCTGGGGGCCACCCCCACCTCCACCCTGGGCCAGGTCGGTTAGCTAGACCCGCCCAGCGGCCCCGACATACCTTAGGTAATGAGCAGCCTGCTCTGGGCTCAAGGCCTCGGCTTCCGGAAACCTACGGGACGCCTCCATGACCCTCGGACTGGGTTCCAGTTACCCCGGCGGGAGCTTGGAGCTTGAATTTCGCGCACTCCCGCCCCGCGCATGCTCTGTGCGCCTGTGGCGAGGGACACAGCCAACCGTCGGCCTCGCGGCCGGCCAATCCGCGACCACGCGCTGCGACGCCACCGCCTGAGCCCCGCCCATGAGGGTAGGCGCCTGCGCCTACGCGCGCCTGGAGGTAGGAAGTGACCTCTGCCTTCGAGACACGGAGTGTGCTGCGTCACTCTGTAGTCCCTTGCGTTTCAACCCAGTTCAAACCATGCTGCGGCCAATTCGTTCGCGCATGCGTGTGCTATCATTGTGAGTGGAGGAGGCTGCCCGATATGATCCCAGTCGTTGTGGCGACCCTTGGAGATCTCCAACGCCTGCATCCCCCAGTCAACCCCTGCCCCACATCCAGAGATACCTTCCCTTCCTTGATCGCCAGTACCTGGCACTGAACGTGCTTTGAATCCAAACACCCTGGGAGGCGTAGTCCCTGTGATTTAAACTCACATTGAAGAAGGCGCGGTGGTTCACGCCTGTAATTCCAGCACTTTGGGAGGCCGGGGCGGGCGGATCATTTGAGGTCAGGAGTTCAAGACAAACCTAGCTAACATGGTGAAAACCCGTCTCTACTAAAAATACAAAAAATTAGCCAGGCGTGGTGGCAGGCGCCCGCAGTCCCAGTCAGGTGGCTGAGGCACGAGAATCGCTTGGACCCAGCAGGTGGAGGTTGCAGTGAGTCGCGATTGCACCACTGCACTCCAGCCTGGGTGGCAAAGCAAGACTCTGTCTCAAAAATAAAAATAAAAAAATTTTAAAAAGTCTGGGTGCGGTGCCTCACACCTGTAATCCTAGCCTTTGGGGAGGCTAAGGTGGGAGGATCACTTGCACTCAGGAGTTCGAGACCAGCCTGGGCAACATAGTGAGACCCCCATCTCTTTTTCAATTTTTTTTTCTTCTCCACAGGGCGTTATGCTGTATTTATTTTTTTAAAAAGAGAGAGAGAAAGAGAGAAGGGTCTTCAAGAATCTCAAACCCGGGAGGTGGAGGCTGCAGTGAGCCAAGATCATGCCACTGCACTCCAGCCTGGGCGACAGAGCAAGACTCCATCTCACAAAAAAATAAAAGAAAATAAAGTTCTTATTTAAGAAATAAGTAGTTAGGTTCACATACTTGGTGTAATAAGAAGAGGACAAAAATAATTCAAAAAAAAAAAAAAGAAAGAAGTAGTGCTGTGGTCACCATTTCTTCAGAAGCACCAACTAAGATACAGTCATTTTCAAAGGCAGAGCCTAAAAAAAGGCGGAGCCTAGAGCTTAAGGAAATGTGATTAAGTGACTTGCTTGGGTGACACTAAATAGGAGGTTGTGGGCCAACAAAAATTGTCTTTGTTCATATATCGTTAAGAACACAGACATGATTCCTCAAGACACTAATTTAGCATTCAGTATTGGAAAACTCACCTATTGGCCCAGTCATACATCACATGTACAGAGAATTTTAAGCTTTTTATAAAATTCATAGACCGTTATGAGTTAAAAGGAATGTTGGAGGCCGGGTTCAGTGGCTCACTGAACCTGTAATCTCAGCACTCTGGGAGGCCGAGGTGGGCAGATCACCTGAGGTCAGGAGTTCAAAATCAGCCTGGCCAAATGGTGAAACCCCGTTTCTACAAAAATTAACTGGGCATGATGGCGGGTGCCTGTAATCCCAGCTTCTCGGGACGCTGGGGCGAAAGAATCACTTGAACCCGGGAGGCAGAGGTTGCAGTGAGCTGAGATCGTGCCATTGCACTCCAGCCTGGGCAACAGAGCAAGACTCCGTCTCAAAAAAAAAAAAAAAAAAAAAGGTCGGAGGGAGGTGGGGGATCTTGGAGAACTTGGAGAACATGGGCTATTTTCCTGGTTTGTATGACTTTAAGGCCTTTGTTAAGAGGCCTTTTAAGTATACTATTATCCCCATTTTTCAGATGTGTAAACAGGCTCAGAGAGATAAAGTGACTTCACCTAAGCTTCCTGAGCTAGGAAGCAGCAGAGCCAGAATTCAATACTAGGTCCGTATGGACACAAATCTGTGCTGTTTCACTGTGTCACACTGGAAAGAAGAGGGCAGTGGTGGGAAATGAAGTTGATGAGGCAGTTGAAGGCCAGGTTATGAAGGAACTTGTTTACTCTGCTAAAGTGTTTAAATCACATCTTTTCCTGGAGGCAAGCTTGGATTGGGCTGTGCTATGGTCTGAAGGTCCTTCAAAATTCACGTGTTGAAACTTAATCCCCGCTATGGTGGCACTGAGAGGCGGGGCCTTTTGGGAAGTAATTATGTCATGAGGGATCCTACTTCATGAATGAATTAGTGCCTTATGAAAGGGCTGGAGGGAACTAATCTATTTAGGCCCTTTTTGCTCTTCTGCTTTTCTACCACGTAAAGACACAGTATTTCTTCACCTCCAGAGGATGCAGCAACAAGGCACCATCTTGGAAGCAGACAGCAGCCCTCAGCAGACACCAATCCTGCTGGCACCTTCATCTTGGACTCTTCAGCCTCCAGAACCACAATAAATACATTTCTATTGTTTATAAATTATGAGTTTGACGGCCAGGCGCGGGGGCTCACGCCTGTAATCCCAGCCCTTTGGGAGGCTGAGGCGGGCGGATCATCTGAGGTCGGGAGTTCGAGACCAGCCTGACAGAGAAACCCTGTCTCTACTAAAAATACAAAATTAGCCGGACATGGTGGCACATGCCTGTAATCCCAGCTACTCAGGAGGCTGAGGCAGGAGAATCGTTTGAATCTGGGAGGCAGAGGTTGTGGTGAGCCGAGATCACGCCATTGGCACTCCAGCCTGGGCAACAAGAGTGAAACTCCGTCTCAAAAAAAAATATATATATATGAGTTTGAGTCTGTGGCATTTTATTATAGCAGCACAAAGGAGCTAAGGATGAGTCGAGTGTCCAGGCACCCTGGATACCCAAAGGATGAGTAGAATGAGAAGAGCAGAATAGGGGAGAAGATGTAGGAGAGAATTCTGCAGAAAGGAAAAGAGAGATGAGAGCACAAAAATCTTCATCTTGAGTCTGGGGAAGGCCATGTCTAGTTGTGCTTTGGCTTAGGGTCCACCATCATCACTCATATCCTGGGAATTGTTGAGAACTGAAGATGAAGCAAAGCAGGCCCCTGGTGGTTGTTGTAGGCATGCCCCATTGTGGGCTGTGAAGAAAAGCTAAAGAGAACTCCCTCAGGAGCCCTGGCTACCTCCCCCTGCTTCCCAGCTGGCAGTGGTGCCCAAAGGCCCTGATCACTGGGAAGGAAGGACCAACCCTCAGCTTGCCTGCCCTTTGGCTATTGGATTTTCTAAGCCCCATTTTCACACAGCTGTAGGGCTCCTCCTTTAAACTCCCCAGCTCTGGCTGCTCCTCCCCTCCCCTTCAGTCCTGTAGTCTGCTTCCTTTGGGCCCTTCTTGGTGCCTTCTGGAGTCCCAGGTCTCAACCCAGGGCTCTGATGACCCAGGAAACTCCCCAGCCCAGGCTCCTGGTCCTCTTTTATAAATGGTCATCCAGGCTCACAGCCTGAAAATAACAGAGAGATTGGGAGGATTTTGAGTGGGTAAATGGAGAGAATCAAAGAGAATCAAAATAATAGTTACTGCTATATCCCTCTTATGTGACAGGCCCCATTCAAAACACTTTACATAGATTAATTCTCTGCTGTTCCTCATTATGCATACCTAATCAAGGCCTCCCATTCCCCCAGCATCTCTCAAGGGAATGGGGTTTATAAAGCTTTCCCAGCCAAGCGTGGTGGCTCACGCCTGTAATCCCAGCACTTGGGGAGGCTGAGGCGGGCGCATCACAAGGTCAGGAGCTCTAGACGAGCCTGACCAACATGGTGAAATCCCGTCTCTACTAAAAATACAAAAATTAGCTGGGTGTGGTGGCACATGCCTGTAATCCCAGCTACTCGGGAGGCTGAGGCAAGAGAATTGTTTGAACCTGGGAGGCGGAGGTTGCAGTGAGCCAGGATCTCGCCACTGGACTCCAGTCTGGGCGACAGAAGGCGATTCCATCTCAAAAAAAAAAAAAAAGAAAGAAAAGAAAAGAAAAAAGCTCTTCCTAGGCTTGGTGCAGTGAATTACACCTATAATGCCAGCACTTTGGGAGGTTGAGGTGGGTGGAGTTTGAGACCAGCCTGGCCAACATGGTGAAATCCCATCTCTACTAAAATACAAAAATTACCCGGGCATGATGTCAGGCGCCTGTAATTTCAGCTACTCGAGAGGCTGAGGCAGGAAGAATGGCTTGAACCCAGTAGGCGGAGGTTGCAGTGAGCCAAGATCATACCACTGCACTCCAGCCTCTACGAGAGCAAAACTCCATTTCAAAAAAACAAACAAAAAAAGCTCTCCCTAATTATTGTTAATTTTAAAAGGGTGATAATGGTATTGCTGTGTTTTTTTTAAGGTCCTCATCTGTTAGAAATACATGTTGGAGTATTTTCAGACAAAATGATATGACATCTGCGACTTATATTAAAATACTTCAGTACAGAGGGAAAAAAAGGAGAGTATAGATGAACAAAGATTGGCAAAATGTTGATAATTGTTGAAGCTTATTACAGAGGTTCATTATCCTCTTCTCTGCTTCTGTGTATGATTGAACATTTCCATAATAAGAATTCTAAAAAACAAAACTTTTCAACCTAATCTGCAAATTACACTGAGTCATCTGCACTCAGAGGCCGGAAATAAGATAATGAGGCTTTGTGGGAGGGTTCAGAATGCGTAAATGGAGAGACGGATGAGGCCGAATAAGAACAATAGCTATTACTTAGATAGCACTGGATTGCCAGGTCTTGGTCTAAGCACTTTACATACGCTGTCTTTTAATCCTTAACAACAACCTTGTTAGACAGTGTATACTATTATCATCCTCCTTTTACAGATGAGGAAACTGAGGCACAGAAAGACTGAATAACTTACACAAGTTTACACAGCTTGTGAGTGGTGAAGCAGGACTCCAAACCCAGGCAGTCTGGCTTTCGACTTTTTGCTCTTTAACACGATGCTAGTTAGATATAG